CCACATCACCCTCCTCCCAAGCATACGATGATTCATGTGTGACCACAGCCTAACTGACTGCTCTTCACTTGGTCCTGGTCCTGGTCCTATAGGACCAGGGGACAGCCAGCCTTGCTGTCCACTTCCTAATCACTGACCTTCACTTCCTGGTCTGGCTTCTCACCTGTCTCAGGTGGGCTGTGCTCTCCCAGCCACCCTCTTCCCGCTGGGGCGTCATCCCCCGCCCACTCCGGCAGTGCCCCACCTGAACCAGCTGCCTCCTCCTCTCTGTGCAGGTGGAACAGTTTCTCCCCGCCCCGGGCCTGCACAGGGGCCAGTGGACTCTCCGGGGGCTGGGGGCTACAGGGGGGCCTGGGGTGCTAACACCTCACAGCACATCAAGCACACGGTGCAGCCAAGCTGGCTTGGCACCCGGGGAACCCAGGGCGAGGACGCTGGAACCCAGGGAGGTGGCCCGCCCCCAGCCCTGGTGATGGCTCAGCCGAGGGCAACGGTGAAGTCAATGTTGGGAGTGGGTGCCAGTGCCCCCAGCCTGACCTTGCCTGAAGTCCGTGCCAGCTCAGCCCCCACCACCAGGAGCAGAGCAGTGAGGTGTATGAGGAGGGGCAGCGACACAGGACAGAGGCAAGGAGTGACACAGACCAGAGGCTCAGAGGGGGAGGAGCGGAAGCTGCTGTCCAGAAGTGGCAGAGGCAGGATCCAGGGCACTGGGGGGAATGGTGAGATGGGGGATGGTTCTTCTCAGGGGGACCTGGGGTCAGGTCACTTGTTTGTGGAACAGCACAGGCTCATCCCTGGTGGCAGCTGCAGTTGCTGCTGCTCAAGTTTCCTTCCCCTTTTCATCCCTTGTGCGTGCTTCTTCCTCATGGCTATGAGGGGACCGAAGGAGGCTGCGGTGCTGCCCACCTGGTACTGCAGGGCTTGTCTCTTCTGTCGCTTGGTTAGAGTGTGGTGCAGGCGGGGAGAGGACGGGGGTCTCACCATGTGCCTGCCTCCCACTTCACCTCAGTCTGCTGAGGGGTCCCCATGAGAGCTGGTCAGCAGTGCCAACGTCCCATTTCCACAGGATGGAAGTGAAACCAGCTGTGAGACACTGTGTCCTGCAAGGGGCCAGCAGGGTTGCCCAGGGGGGCTGGAGTCCTTCCACCCTGGCTGTGTCTGCCTCCTTGAGGCTGGAGTCTTTCCGCCATGGTCCTGGTTTTTCTAGGCGGGGCTTCCCCTGGCGCAAGTTTTGGGGGCAGAATATAGAGAAGCAGGGACCTGGGACGACTGCTCTTTTCATAATCCCCAGGCACCACATGTAAAATAGAACATCTTTTATTCATCAATTATTTTAAAATCCCAGCAAGTTATTTTTGATATTGACCAAATGGTTCTAAACTTAACATGGAAAGGGAAAAGACTAGAATAGATAACACAATATTGAGAAAGAGCAAAGTCAGAGGATTGATATTATCTGATGTTAAGACAAAGTATTAAAGCTACAGTAATCAAAACAGTGTGGTATTTCTGAAAGAACAGACGTGAAGAACAAGGAAACTGTGAAAATCTCTCACATTTGGAAATTCACTATGAGGAAATGACAACTACAGGCAATATGAGATCCTGGACTGGATTCTGGAACAGAAAAGAAACGTTAGCAGAAAACTGGTGAAATCTGAATAAAGTGTGCAGTCACGTCAATAGTATAGCAGTAACGTTAATTAACTAATTTTGACAAACTTACCATGATGATGTAAGGTGTTAACTGCAGGGAAAGCTGGTGGAAGGGAATGTGGGAATTGTACTAGTTGTACTATCATTGAATCTCTTCTGTAAACCCAAAATTATTTTAAAATAAAAAGTTTAAAGAGAAAAATAAGAGGTGAGATTCCTGGCCTCCAGCCACAAAAGGAGTTGGAAACAGCAGAAAACAGAGCGTTCTACAAAAATTTGAGTTGCTATATTATTAATATTATGTCATCATAATCACCGAACATCCTTCCCCAACCTGAAGCCCTTTGGCCATTTCTCTGTAGCTTGGTCTCTCCCGTGGGGTGCTGGCCCTCTTGGGGTCCTGATTTCTCCCTGCCTCCTTCCCCACCCCTGTCCCCAAAGACCCCCGTCCCAGTGGCTGAAGGAGGGGCAGTCCCCACTTGCTGGCAAGCTCCTGCTGCAGGTACCCGTTCCCTGCCCAAGGCTGACCAGAGCTGCTAGGAGCACAGCCAGCGCAGCGCTACAGGGGTTAAAGGAGGCTCAGGGGTCAACAGCTGGCTGAGTGGGGAAGGAGACACCAGTGGACCACACCCTGGGCCAGCTGGGGAGGGAGCCCGGGTAGCAGAGCCCTCAGCTCAGTTGCTCCCTGAAGTGGCCCTGAGACTTCCTGCCTGGACACGAGGCTCACTCACCCACTTCCTGCAGACAACCAGCTTTTTGCCAGCCACAGCTTTTGCCCCCAACATTGGCCACCACTGTTCCAGAGAGTGCCTTGGCTCTGACACCCACCCTACTCAGCAGCTCCTCTGAAGGAAAGGTGAGTGTGAGAGTGAGTGTGTGTGTGTGTGTGTGTGTGTGTGTGTGTGTGTCTGTGTGTAGGGGGATGGAGCCGGCAGAGCTGCTGGGCTTCTGGTACTGATGCAGTGGAGACCACCCATCAGGGTGTAAATTCGGGGCAGGTGAGGTCAGCCTGCCTGGTGCCTTGTCCCTGGGCAGGGCAAGCCCCTCAGGCGTCACCCTGTCAGTCCCCCATCTTCAGATGTTCCTGTGGTGCTGGCAGGGATGTCTGGGGTGGGGCTGTCCCTGTACTGAGAGAGCCACCAGTCCGAAGGGATCGGTTGGCTGGGGAAGGTACTGGTGTCAGTGGCTGCTTGGGCCCGAGGCTAGCTGGGGAGTAGGGCCGCAGGGATCAAGGGAGGGGGAAGGTTAGGGGGTCTCCTGTGCCACCTGCCTGCCCATGGCAGGGGCCTGGATATTGTGTCCTCTTCATTTCTTTCCCTGCCACCCACTGGCGCTGCTGTCAGGGTGCCTTTCTCCTCCTTGGGCTCTCTTTGCTCCCAGAGGGCTGACCCGGGCTGCAGGGGGCCTGGCGGGCCTGGAAGGGTTGGGGTTCAGAGCCCTCTCCCCCACCCACTCCTCAGCGTGGACACAGCCTGGCTTGAGGGCTCATCTGCCCTCCCCAACCCCCAGCTCTTGCTTTTTCCTCACCCCTCTGGGCAGAAATGGCTAATCCAAGTGGTTCATGAGCAGACATGGGCAGCTGCCTCCCCCACTCCCTGCACCCTCCTCTCCTCCTCTGACTCTGCTGCCTCCTGCCATCCCCTCTACTCCTGCTGGCAGCCCACCCCTCTGGGCTGGGACCTCAGTGTCTGCCCCCACCCCAAATTCCTGACCAGGCAGGACTGCCCGCCCAGATGTCTTACGCTGGCCACTGTGCTAGAAGAGGAAACTGGGAGGGGTGGCTGAGGGGGTGACCCAGAGAAGCCTGCTGTGCTCCCGGGCTGGGCTCCCTGCCAGGGACTGGGTGGGTTTGGGGACAGGGTGGGTGCTGGGCTGGGAGGGACCGAGTCAGGAGGACAGGAAGGCAGGTGGCTGTGGGTGGGAAGAGGAGGGAGAACTGCATACTAGGGTTCCAGCATCTTTGGGGACAGGAGCTTCTCTTGCAGAAGCCCAGCTGTTCCTCAGTGTGGCAGAGCAGAAGCCTGTGGAGCTGGGTGAGGGGGGCACTCTCTCTTCTCTGGCGAGGTGGGGACCACTGTGGCTCAGACTTGGCCTTAAATCCCATCTGGCAGCTGGCAGCTTCTCCTGTCTCCCCCACCCCAGCTCTCACCCAGGACCTCAGAGCTTGCTGCAGGGGAGGCACCTGCCTGACACCTCTGGCCCAGGGGCTGGGAGGGAGGGGGGAGGATCAAGGTTGGGGTGGAGAGTTGGGCGGGAGAGCCCTTAATGGGACCAGTGCTGGGGACCCAGTTTGGGGGTGCCCTGGCCGCTGCTCCCTGTTGAGAGGGCAGGGAGCCAGAGAAGAATGGGCTGGGCCAGGCTGGGGGTCTCAGCCAGTCCAATGGGACCACCAGAGCTAGGAGCCAGCACCTGCGTCTGGAGCTGAAAGTTCAGGGTGATGGAGGTGGGGTCCTGGGACCCTCTGCTCCCCTGGCCCTGAACCCTCCTGGCTCCCCTTGCCCATCCCCCTCCCATGCTTCTGCTACTTCACTTCCCTCAGAGTCCAGTGCAGAGCTTGCCACGGGGTGGCCACGTCAGCAAGGGTAAACCCAGAGAAGCAGGTGGCCAGGTGGACTGGGGCTGGGCTGGGGGACATGGGAGATCAGGGGAGATATTGCTGTCTTGTGACCATGTTCTGGTGTCTGATGGGCTGTGCCAAAGCATTGGAGTTTGGGACCCCTTGGCATCCTGTTTCTACCAAGGTCCAGGTAAGAAGTACTGGGGGGCAGAATGGACTTTCATTGTGTTTAAGGAGGGGGACACAGAGGTGAAAGCTCGGCTCGGATTAAGGCAGAGCTTCCTAAGGCCCCTGGCAGGTCAACAGGAGAGTGGGATGCCTTGTAAGGTAGTGAGATTATTGCGCTGAAACATGGGGACATGTAGGCTCCACCTCCTCCCCACAAGTTGGGGAACCGAGAGTCTACCACTCTGCTGGGCACTGTGGCCCTCCTCACCCCAACCCACAGCAGCCCAGCAGATCCGCCCGCAGCCACTTCCTGCAAGGGTCCTGAGGTTGCTCCCAATCCCCGTGGCCCACTGTGCACCTTGTCCCACCGGCTCACCCTCGAGGGCTGCAGCAGACCTGCCAATCCTCCTGTGCACGTTTGTGTGCAGGTGTTACATGCACATACATGGTCCATTCTCTTGGGTATAACCTAGGCTGGCAAATGCAGGGTCACATGGTAACTCTATGGTGACCTTGCTGAGCGACTGTTAAACTGGTTCCCAAAGCAGCTGCACCATTTTACATTCCCACCAGCAACGTAGGAGGGTTCCGTTTTCTCCACATCCTCAGCAATGTTGTTTTGTCCATGCTGTTCTTAGCATGCACAGCCTCGCGGGTGTGACGTTGTTCCTGGGACTGATTTCTCCCTGTCTCTACTCTGACACTGGGGTCCACTTTGGTAGGTTATAGACTGGGGAATGGCCATAGGAAGTTGTACCTTGCTCTAAGAAATGGCAAGATGGTGATCTCTTTTGTGGTTCAAAAGGAAGCTAATTCAGGAGCTGGTTTACTTTAGTCTTTGAGACATAGGAATGACATTTCCTAGTGGCTGCAGCTAGCCCTCTACACCCAGGCACGTGCTGAACAGAAACCGGGGTAGGTTTCTGTCCCTGTAGAGTAAGTTGGGGATAACAGGGGAGTCGGGTGGATGAAGGCAGGCACATGGAGGACAGGAGGTTCCCCAGCAGGACTGCAAAGATGCCCAACAAGGGTAGTGTGTGCCCTGTCTTCTCTGCTTCCTGTCTCCCCTCCCCTTGTTTGGGGAGCAGACAGGCTGTCTCTGCTCACCCCACATGGCAGAACATGGCTGCCCACAGCTGCCCAAATAATCTATTACATTCCCGCCCATTTGGAGAATCAGTCAGCCACATGCTTGTCATTTCTAATACAGTTTTCTCAGGACACAAATGCTCCCAGATCAGGGCTCCTTATTCCCAGAAGACAAACATTGGGCCTTATTTTCTGACTAAAGATGCTTCTAGCTCAAGCCTTCAGAATCCCCATGCTGCTATTGCTTAAATCGTTTTCCAGAATATTATTTTAAAATAATTTTCAGAATGTTATACAAAGGGATTCAATCCCTCAGCTTTGTACGCAATTGTTGACATTTCCTACAGTGTAGGGGTACAAGACAATTGGTTTTGGTGCTTAATCCACAGGGTAAGAATTGATGGCATCTCACGTTTCTGAGCATTAAAGGCAGCCGTGACAGCCAAAGATGCTCACAACTGAGGGATGCAAGCAGGACCCCGTGTTCTGTAGGAATTATCTCAAGGGAACTTTCCACAAAGTCTTGCATGATGACCATGCCAAAGAAAATGCTAAGAATCTCTCTCTGATATAGAAGAGGACTATAGTATTGTCATAAAGTTTACCTTTTATCACTAAACTTGTCTCATAACATTAGCGCCTCTACCACTTACACATTTGAAGTGAAAGTTACTTCCATGCAGTATACTAGCCAACGCAAGTTATCCTATCCCGGTTTCTTGGGTGGACGGGAAAGATTCTGGGCAGGATTTATTGTGCACTCACTCTCATCTCTCTTCTCTAGGCCAGGATTTAAATTTGCCTCAACAATGGAAGATGATAACTGGAAGGACTTCAACTTTGACGATTTCTTCGATGGAGATTTTAGTAATTACAGTTACAGCACTGACCTGCCCTCTATTCTACCAGATTCTGCCCCATGCCGGCCAGAATCCCTGGAAATCAACAAG